AGCTGTTTTCTAGCCAAAAATGCAGATTTTATAATTTGTGTGCAATTAGTAAGAAATTCCCCTGGAAAGGAAATGGGAAATGCCCAAACTCGTCCACTGATGGCACACAGTGGACGAGTTTGGGCATGTGCCCTGGTTGCCGGGATCTACTAATGCCCCTGCCAGGAAGGACAATTTGGGAGGATTTACAGCAGTGGAGCTTTTTACGGCTGATTATAAACTTTTTTTTTCCTTTTTAGGTTCCATGCAACTGGATCTGAACCGCATGCCGAGGCCAGCCAAGACGGCAGAAAAGTGCAGCCTGGAGCTGCTGGAAGAGTCGAATGCTGCAGATGGCTGGGTGTCTCTCTTTGAGCAGAAGACGGTGAAGGGTTGGTGGCCTTGTGTGGGCCAGGAGGATGGCACAAAGATTCTCGCAGTAAGGATCTTTAGGGTTTACCTCGGGAAACTCAACTTTGATTACAATCCTTCTACAGATGAAGAATCAAATCTCGGCTCCGTGCTCATCTCCAAAATTGCCTCCCTTGTGTATTTATCGATATTTGTTTTTCTAATTATTACATTTTCTGGATTTCTTCAGGCTGGTGACACAGTGCCACAGGGCCCTCTTCCTTTTCGCCCTGCCCTAGGGGGGAAAAATAAATATTAAGAAATATATAACACAATAGCTGCAAAGTATATTAATCCATTTTGTGTGCACGAAATGTCTTCAAACCCAGATAATTTATTGTAAAACCAGCAGTGACATCATCACTGTCCTGTACATAACCTGTGCGGAAAGCAGAACTGTGGGAGGGGCCATGCAGGATCTACCCACTACAGGCTTCCAGCTGAAACTTACAGGAGAGGAGCGCAGACAAGACCAGTTACCCGGCACAAGGAGAAAGAGCAGCAGTGACCGGTCTTTATTACAGGAGGGGGCGGAGACAAGATCAGTCAGAATTTTAGGGGGATTCCCTTTAGTCTAATGTCACTTTGCTGCAACGAAAATCCATTCATAACAAACATTTGTTAGTCAGGTTGAAAAAAGAAACAAGTCCATCGAGTTCAACATATAGAGATAAAATAAAAACAAGAAAAGCCTAAAACGGATCGCTATACCCACAATTACCCAATGTTGATCCAGAGGAAGGCACCCCTCCTATAAAGCACGGTTCAATTTGCTCCAACAGGGGAAAAAAATGTCTTCCTGATCCCATAAGGCAATCGGATATTCCCTGGATCAACAATCTCTGGTGCCTAATATACCTCTAAGAACTCAACATCCAGTAATATTCTGCGCATTTAGGAATACATCACAGAGGTAACTGAGGTATCTAGAACAAGCTCCTGGGAGAGTCTATTCCACATTTTCACAGAAAAACAAATTTTTGGCGGGCGCACATGTCTAACACAAAGCTCACCAAGCTTCAAGAAAGAAGTCACATGACTTTTGTATATAGACCATGTTTGCTGATCCCGGAGTGCAGCTTTAAGTATGTCTGGTGTGAATGAGTCACTAGATGTATTAGCTAGTAACAGTCTATCCAAAAAACGTTCTTCCTTTGGTCACCAAGGAACAAGATGGCTTCCTGGCCAGCTTTGTACTAATGCTGCCGTGTCACATGATACTGTATGCTATCTGTTTGTCTCTTCTTTCCCTTACAGGGGAAGCTGGAGTTAACATTAGAAATTATCAACGAGCAAGAAGATGATGAACGTCCAGCTGGTATGGGACGTGAAGAGCCAAACATGAACCCCAGATTGGAAGACCCTAAGTAAGATTTCTCCACCCACGAGGAGCCAGCATTTTCATTACATGTGAATGAACACATTCACGGGAGAACCATGTGACCCCTCTTGTGTTAAATAGGTTTATTTGGCCTGGAATCTTTCACTGGTTATGTTTCCAAAAGAAAAAGAATAAGTGCCATTAGATGCTTTTTACATTTGCCATTTGACGGATTTGCTGTATTTTATTATTATTTATTACATTTCTTTTTGAATTCTGACATATTTTAGAGCAAATGTAGGAATGTGTTTACTGTTGTGAAAGTTAACCTGCCTGCATTGTGGAGGACCTCGCGATCCTGGCTCGTGGAGGTCTGCACTGGGCCTCAGTGTCCGCATGCTTGTTTAGGAACAGTGACTCTTAGGGGTCTATTATAAACAATTCCCCTTAGCCTTGTGCATATCTGTGAACGTCTGCTTTGTGCAAATAATGACAACAATGGAATTTCCATTTCCAGGTATTTGTAAGACATTATAGGAGGACTAAGGGGAGGATAAAACGGCAGATGTACTTACCATTAGATGCTTCGGCACACTTTGTTTTCAGTTGGGAGGCCATAGTTGTACTTTAAGGCAACCTAGGGGTGTAAAGCCTTTGTATAGATCTCAGCTCTTTGTGGACACGGATGTAAATCGGTGTATGTACCTTCTGTAACCTAAGAATGTTTGGTTCCCAGGCGTCCAGAGACGTCGTTCTTTTGGTTCACATCACCTTACAAGACCCTGAAGTACGTCCTCTGGAGAAGATACAAGTGCTTCATCCTGGTCCTCCTGATCGCCTTCATCCTATTGCTCTTCTTGGGAATATTCCTCTACTCTTTCCCGGTAAGTTACCATTGAAGAGGCGAGATGATTATGACTATGGTCCTACACCAGAGACCGAAAGTCAGATATATAAACCATAAAGTGCACCTGTCATGAAAAAGGTATGGAAGCTGCCGTTGCTCACTGCCCTTCTTAACCATTTGCTGACCTGGGTGTTAAACCCCCTTCCTGTCCAGGTAATTTTTCAGTGTTCAGCGCTGCGGTACTTTGACTGACGTTTATTCCGTCATGCAACGCTGTACGGAAATTATTTTTATACCATTTTTTGGGGACAGATAGAGCTTTCTTTTGGTGATATTTAATCACCACTGGGGGTTATTATTTTTTTTACTATATAACAAAAAAAGTATTGAAAGTTTTGAAAAAAGTTATTTTCCCTATGAAATGTTATAAAACATTTATTATCAACCCAATTTTTTGGTAAAATATAAAAGGCGGGGTCACGCCAGCTAATTAGACACCAAACATGTCAAGCCTTAAAATTTTGCGCGCCCGCAAAAACACAAAAAAATTACCAAACCCAAAATTGGCCATGGGCAACGCGTTATTATTGATGGCCCTAAAATTTTTGCTCTCACTCCGACATTCGCGTTGATATGTAACATGTGTGGCACAATGGGCGCAATCGTCGTTTTCACACATGGGCATAATCATTGTTTTTGCACGTAGGCGCACCCGACGCATGTTTGCGTGTGTATGTGGGGACTTTTACATTTTTTTGTATTTTATTTTTATATGTGATTTAATTTTTTATGATTCTTTAATATTTTTTTACTTTTTTTTTACACTTAACTTTATTGCTATCACATAGGGGGCTAGGAATCCCCTGTCCTGTTCAGGGACACACCCAACTGCAGGATACACCTAGGATTTCCCGGTGGCTGCTTTCTCAGACGAGATCCCTCCTGTGGTTCCCCTCCCCCAGAGGGTGGCATCTTCTACTCTTGGGTCATATGCTTCCGCATGAACCCCTCTCTCTTGGGGAAACTCCACCCAGCCTAATGCACCAAGACCCTTATAAACCACGGTGACATGAGCACACTATGTCACCAGCCATTTGTTCAACATTCTACACATGTATCTTGAACACTGAATGGGTTAGACCTAAACGAGATCTGTGTACTGCCGCATTGTGGATACACTGGTTGATAGAGGTGGTTCATGTATTATACCTGAGGGGTTTTAAATGTTCAATTTGGATGTATTTTAGCTTGTATTTTGCAATAAAGTGCCATGTATTTTATAGATAGATAGATAGATAGATAGATAGATAGATAGATAGATAGATACAGTGACGGAACAATCACCATAGTGACCCAGGCGGCCACTTTGGGGCCTGGGGCACAGGGGGGCCCGGCCAGGACAACCCCTTAATGCCGTGCGGGCTGCCTGGGTTGCTATGGCATCTCAGGCTGCTGGCTGTCACTGGCGGCTGTGAGGAGGAACGCGACATTGGTCAGATCACTGACATCCTGTCAGTGATGTGTGCAGCGGCGCGTTTCTTCTCACAGCCGCTGCTGAGTCAGTGACAGCCAGCAGCTGCGGTGGAGGAGGCTGGGCCCGGCATCAGTAGCGAAGGAGGAGGCTGGACCCAGCTATGGAGGAGGCAGGGCACATCTACGGAGGGGGCGGGGCCCAGCAACAGAGGAGGCGGGCCTGCCAGCGACCACAGAGGAGGAGGAGGCAGATAGTGGATCGGGGCTGACAGGTAAGAGGGTTTGACCAGCCCCCTGAGACCCTGCAGAGCCCACCATAGATATTCTATGGTGGGCTCTGCAGGGTCACTCTCAGGTGGGCTGTTTGGGTTATCAGGTGGGCATAACTAGAAATCACAGGGCCCCATACAACATTTTCCTATGGGGCCCTGTGATTTCTAGTTACGCCCCTGGATAGATAGATCGATAGATAGATAGAGTTTTATGTTATTGGGTACCATTAAAGCCCCATTTACAGTATGTTTCTTATGCCCCTTGTCCTGTTGACATACCTGATCGGTAGGGATCAAGTGTCAGGTATGATCTGAGCAGGACCAGTGTGGAGAGTATCCACCATTCTGTAAAAGTGCTGCACCTGTAACCGATACAATGACCGTTTCATGTTCTTCTCTTCCAGAATTATGCTGCTATGAAGCTGGTGAAACCATACAGCTAAGAACAAACCATCTGACAAACACCTGCCAATCCCTAAAGCCTTTGTCTGCCGGCAGTCCTGTGCATTGAACTGTCCATAAGGGCTTTTTTGTCAAAGATATTCCTGTCTGCAAGTTTGCTAGTACCATGCATTGCAAAATGTTCCGGTGTGCTCCAATGCAGGTGCATTGAATGACACCCTAGTGCACCAATGCATATAACATGTATAGTGCCGTGCTGCGAATGGCCCTTTAGGATAAATCCACACCAAGGAAATATTCAGTTTATGGTTGGGCTCTGGAGGGCTGAATTACCTCTGGGAACTCTCCAATGGCTTCCTGCCATTGATCTCACTTCTGTTCCCATCCACCCTGACATGTTGCGGCACCCTTGGGCTGTTTCTATTCCTCCTGATGCATGCTCCATCATCTCAAATGAATTAAAACTCCAGCAGACAGAGTAAAAGTCCTCCATAACAGCTGCAGGGGCAAGGAAATAGGGCAGATAGTGGGTGAGTATCACAATGCATATCCTTTTTTGTCCCAAGTTGCATATATAACTCCTTCTACTATCTCTAAAAAGCCAAAGAATATCCTCTTATTCAATGGAGATCCCCAGGAAAAAAAACCTTTTATATAGAGTGATATCAAAATCTTAATATACAGTATATTTTTATTTATTATTCACCATATTTCATATAAACCCAACCTATGCGCCTTACAAAACTTCCCCCCATGAGAGCAAACACCTATTTGACTCAGGTATTCATTAAACACATGTCAAACTTGGCGTCACGCGGGGGGTGCGGCCCGCACCCGGGTGACACCAGTGGAGGGGCGACACCAAAATTATTGACAGTCATTATGGTGTCACCTCCCTCTGAAAAGTCTGGCGCTCGGTCATGGACCGAACGCCCGACAGTATCAGGAGAGAGAGGAGGGGACCCGGCGGCATACCTTATACCGCCGGGTGACTGTATCAGAAGAGTGCTTGCGCGGTGGCGAGTCGGCGGGGTGACACTCGATGACCGCTCCGGGTGTCACCCAGCCTCGGGACGCCCCTGTGTCATAGGACTAAACTTCTATTGCACGTATTTGCAATAGAAATTGGAAAACCCAACTTGCCCCACTTGGAGGATTGTCTCTCACTTCATGTCCCACAGATATGACAATGAGTATAGATCCACGCATACAATGAGGGGGAGATTCTACCTTAGACAACTGGTTATAGATTTTGGACACGACACAACAGACTGTGTTGTGGAGACAAAACAGGAAGTGAGAGGAAAGTTCTCCAAACTGAGGGTAAATCCCCTTTTAAACCTTTTTAGAGATTTTACCTCTATTCTAGTCAGTGGCGTCACAAGGGGGGTGCGGCCCGGGTGTCACCATTGAAGGGGTGACTCCAAAATGACTGACAGTCATTTTGGTGTCACCCCCTATGAAAAGTCGGGCACTCGGTCACGGAGAGAGGAGGGGAGCCGCCGGCATACCTCATCCCGCCGGGTGAATGTCCCCTCCTCTCTCTGCCGGCGTCCATCACCAAGATGGCCGCCGGCAGGCGTCAATAAGATGACCGCGCATGCACGATGTCACCCGGCCACGGGACGCCCCTGATTCTAGTTTTAACACTAAGAATTTTGCAGCAGCCACAAAAATGATTTCCATGCAGGAATTACAGTATGGCGGAGGGCTAACTGACGGCTGTTCCATGTTTACAGTTTATAATTAAAAGTTTATATTTCAAAGCTTTCAGTATCCTACAAATGTATCATTGCCGATATGTTTTTATTTTATTATTATTTTATAATGCATATCAATCAATGGCCAGAGATATCCCCAATCTATTGGACTTTACCTGCAGTATTCCCTGTTGTATTTCAGCTCAGTAATGTGCCTTTGTTGCTTTAAGGGTTCACTATTTATCCCGTCCGTTTTCTTCATTTGTGATGGAAACACTTTAATATGCACTGAACATGATAAATGCGATGCCTAGAGTTACATTTCAGTCATGTACTGAAGAATGTGAATTGAATAAAGCCGAGAGCAATATATTACAACAAGTATGTCTTCTTCATGCTGGTTTTATTAACCCCTTCATGACTGAGGCCCTTTTCCATTTTTGCACCCATGTTATATTCCACATTTTAGGCCAGGGGTTAAAGTGGACCTGTCATTACTCTCTATACTGTCCCCTGACTGAAAATATAAAGGGCCGGTCAGTCACCTTTACAAGTCAGCCCTTTTTAACAAAGTCCATCCCCTTTATTATTCCAAAATCACAAAGAGTTAATACCACAGGCGCCAGTAACTGTGTAAGAAAGTAAAGTGATGCACTCTCGAGGCAGCTCCTGCTGGTTTAGGACAACCAAAACACTGAAATGAAAAACAAAGAGAGCGCCTCAATTGTGTAAAAACGCTTTAAAGGAGAACTATGAGGTGAGTGCTTTTTAGTAGATCGGGAGGTGAGCGAACATATACCGGCGTTCGCTCACCTCTCGATCCTGTCACTTCTCTCCGCCATGACAGGGGAGGGGCTTGATTCCCTCCTCCCCCCTCCGATCCGCCAGCGCTGACTGACGGAACCGACGGGGGAGGGGGCGGCAAGCTGGCTCTGCTTCTAAATAGGCAGATCCAGCTGTCACTCATGCAGCTGGGCGGATCCAGACATAATTGCCGGGATCCGCTTCAGCTGCGGCTTCTCAGTATACCGCGAGCTGTAGCTCGCGGTATACTGAGCTTAGGGTGACGGGAGTACGCTAGTTTGTGTCCTCCTGTTACCCAAAGGAGAACAATGGGGAAAAGCCCTGACCTCATAGTTCTCCTTTAATATAACGATATAGGAAGAGCTAAAAGCATACTCACAAACAGATGGAATAAACAGGCATAGAGTGTAAATCCATTGGTTCTGAGGAAGGAGGCGTGTCCTCTGAAACGCGTAAACCAGGGAGGATATGTAGTTTGTCGGCTGAGCCGGATACATACGATCCCAGTGTTTTTTTCGTTTGCTGACTTAAACTCTATGCCTGTTTATTCCATCTGTTTGTGAGTATGCTTTTAGCTCTTCCTATATCGTTATATTAAAGCGTTTTTACACGATGGAGGCGCTCTCTTTGTTTTTCATTACAAAATCAGCTCCTGAGCCTAGGCTAAGATGATCTGGGCCAGTTTAGATAAATTGAGACCCTGTGCAAGAACCTGAGGCCTTCTTGGCTTGACTTCATAGGATACAGAATACTCTACTGTACTCCATTGTGTTCTGATTTAAATCGCCTTACATTTAAATAGACATTTCTCTTACATTCATTGATGGACACATTGAAAAACAGGAACCACAGGGTTATTGTGCCACCCACAGGAGAAGCACGCTAGGCACAAAACAAAAAAAACAGCCTAGGGCTGTCCTCTGGTGGTGGCTTTGCACTGACTTATGAGCTTATTGCGTGCTGGTGACATCTACATTTTAAGCTGTTGGTGGCTGAACCCCCATCTGCTGACCAGCCTCCAATTATTTGCCTTGCGCCAGGAGTAAGGACCTAAGAATTGTTCCTGGGATTTCTCCCTTTTTTCTAAGATCTTTAGTAGATCTTCAAGCAAGAGCTGGCTGGGTGACACACTGGGTGTTGCTAGATCCTTGTAGTCTTCCCCAGGCCAGCCATAGAGAGCATGCAGACTCTCACCACGGCAGGGTCAGCTGCGAATACTCTGGACTCCTGGAGTCCCAATTCGTCATGGCCCCTCTGTGTAGTGTGGTCCTAACTCTAATCTATGAGAGTCTCCATCTTGGAGCATATTGTATATAGCAAAGGATGAAATGGGGCAGGATTGCCAGGAGGCAGCCCAGCCTCCTTAAATACTTGTTGTATTTGGTGTGGGGACACACTATGGGCTTCAGCTTCCGTTGTGATGTGCGGGGTCTGTGGTGTGCTCCTGTGCCTTTAAGTAGGTTGGGCTGCCTCCTGGTGAACCTGCACCCAATTCATCCTTTGCCATATATGCTCCAAGATGGAGACTCTCATAGATTAGAGTTAGGGCCACATAGGGGGGCCCTGACAAGGCAAGGTGGCTTCCACATATTCTGCAAAAGTTGTGCAGCTAAAACCTCTGTTTTTAAAGGAGAACTATGAGGGGAGTGTTTTTCACTCACCTCATAGTTGTAGCCGACCTGTGACAATGAGACTGTCACAGGTCGGCTCAGTAGATCGGGAGGTGAGCGAACACATACCGGCGTTCGCTCACCTCTCGATCCTGTCACGGCTCTCTGCCGTGACAGG